GTTGGGGGCAATATGCTGACTCTGTAAACCGCTTAGAGAGGGCTGAAAGCCCTATGAAGCGGTATATAAGTCTAACTGCTATTGCTATTGCTAACCCATACTTTAACTACCATTCTGACTGCTCACTCCACCTGGAAAAAAGCATCTGGTTCAACATCTATCTTGCAAGCTTTGCATTGTTGCCAGTAGGTTTCTGGGTGCAGTTCAAAGTATTAGTTTTGAGGAATGAAGTCTTACATAACTTGGTATCCAACTGTTTTTCCATCATGACACCTACATTATGGGGCAGACTCCCAGTAGAGATCAGCCTGGCCTGCTCACTGATGGCGTCAGGTTAGCTTTTAAAGACTGGGATGTTTCCAGCAACCTTTAACAGAATGATTGTCATTATTACTACTTTCTGTGATGAGGTATTATCACTATTACCATTATGGTATTATTTTTTTGTTATTTTATGATATTCTAAATGTTTTTAATTTGTAAACCTGTGGTGAAGATTTGGCAGCATGCATATGTCATACATAAATAAATAAAACAAAGTTAGCTACACCTATGTGTGAATCACCCTTTAAGAGGATTTAAAGATAGATATCTGGGTTTCTCTTCAGCAGAAAGAGGCGGACACTGGAAGTTTCTGGTTCAGCCAGGAATGGAGCAAGAGAAGCAGGCCCAATGCACTGGCTGCAGAGTCTTCCAATGGCTAGAGGCTGGGAGATGCCCTGCTTTCAAGGCTGCCAATGCAATTACCCAATGCAATTACAGTATAGAATTACAAATCTAAGTGAAGTGCTAGGTGGGGAGGAGTCGGAGAAAAAAAATACAGTCAATCAGAATAGAGCTGGAAGGGATCTTGGAAGTCTTCTAATCCAACCCCCTGCTGAAGCAGGAGACCCTATACAACTTCAGACAAGTGGCTATCCAGTCTCTTCTTTAAACTCTACAATGATGAAGCACCTACAACTTCTGAAGGAATGACATTCCATTGGTTAATTGTTCTCACTGTTGGGAAGTTTCTCCTTAATTCCAGGTTACTTTTCTCCTTGATTAGTTTCCATCCATTGTTTGTTTTGCTTTCTGGTGCTTTGGAAAATAAGTTGACTCCCTCTTCTTTGTGGAAACCCTTCAAATACTGGAACACTGCAATCACGTCACCCTCTAGTCCTTTATTTCCCCTAGACTAGCCAAACTCAAATCATGCAACCATTGTTCTAGTTGCTCTTCTCGACACTTTTTCCAAAGTCTCAACATTTTTTTGTAATGTGGTGACCAAAACAGGATGCAGTATTCCAGATGTGGTCTTACTAAGGTTTTATAAAGTGGTACTAATCCTTCATGTGATTTTAATTCTATGCCTGTTTATATAACCAAGGATTGTAATAGCTTTTTTGACTGCCGCCACACACTGCTAACTCATATTAAGTGATCATATCATTTTTCATCATATTTAAATGATACAGCTGAAGGAAAGGGAGATAAGATAAACAAACAAAAGAAGAAACTGAATTATTTTGTAACTGAAGTGTTCAAGAGAAATTTCATTGATTTACTATATTTTTCAGAGTATAAGACGCACCCCAAAGTGGGTGGAAATGCCTGTGTGTCTTATACAGTGAATATTGGAGGGGGGGTTGGTGTGGCACCAATCAATTGTTTTCGAATAGGCTGCGGCGGCACCGAAAAAGCCAGGGCGGTGAGTAGGCGGCAGCAGCGGCAAATGGGCTGCAGCAAACGGACCATATGAATACCAGATGGATGCTGGGAGACAAAGGCAGATTATTTTTCTTCTTCTTTTCCTCCCCAAAAACTAGGTGCATCTTATAGTCCGGAGCATCCTATACTTCGAAAAATACAGTATTTAAACAGAAACACCTATTTCCTATAATACTTCTTTATATAATAGAATTGTCAATTTAAATTCTAAATGTTCATAATCTATTAATTCCCAGTAAATGACACAATACGACAATCCAAGATACTATGATACTAGGAAAAAATATGAAACAATCTCAATATGAAAATATGAAATTATCAGGGTAATGGCAGCCACATTTTAAAGTAGCTCTGATATAATATTACACCATTTTGGGCCCAACAAAACATTTAGTCATAGCTTGACCAGAAACCATTTTGTCAGGTTTCACTGCCAATAACAAGTTTTATATAATATCACTATCTAACCATATCCAAAAGATTCTCTAATTCAGCCATCATCTCTCCCCACCCAATTACTCTGAGCAATTACTCATTTGTTTAACTGCATCATACCTTCATGTCTTTTTATCTTAATCAATGCAATTTCTCTCTCTCTAATTTTGTCAGAAAATCTTTCAACCTTCAGTTTTTCTGAATCGTAGCTGTTCATCTTCTCACCTAAAAGCAGAAGACAATATCCCATATTTATTTTATGCCTCTAGGACTTCAACCCCCCAAAAATCTCAATACTATCTTCATAAAATTTCAAAAAAAACTTCAGTCCAATTTTTCAAAGCCTGTTATTAAATCATTTAATTGAGTTTCATTCATTTGATTTTACTAGTTTGTTGCATCAAGAATACTTTTCATATTGATCAGTTTTCCAAGTAAACTGAAAATAACAAAATAACACAAACACAATTTATATGCTTCTAAAATCTACACTCAGGAACTAACTTATGAGCTTATTTTAGGCAGACCTAAGTCTTTAAAAAGACTAAAAATCTGGCCAACGGTTCTGTTCCTGCAGGCCCCAACATGAACTCCTGCCTTCACTGTACTTGCCCCACTGCATGCAACAGGCAATATTAGAGCTGTTATATTAATTATATTGTTTACATTATTAGTTATAAAAGCACAATATCAGATTCAGTTTTCCCAGATTATAATGAACATAGAGGAACTGACCTTTGTAAACATGCTTACATTTTTGCTATTAATTATATGGTCTGTAAATAACACCTAGGTCAACAGACTTGTCTATATAAAATAAAACATTTTGACAATTGGCAAAAATAAATTACATATATATGCCCGTTAAATATTTAGAAATTGAATGAGCCTACTTACTGTGTTTGTGGCAATTTCCAAAGACATCAGGAATCCGGTAACAAAACAGGCTTGAGGTCTGACTCAACTTTTCAAATCCTGCGAATATAAATTAGAACTTGAAATTTTTTATTGGGAGTTTATCATAGATTCTTTAGAAAGACATTTACTTCATTCAGACAATTCAAAATGAAATAATGAAAATAGGAATATGTTCCAGAATACACTGACTGATACATTAGTACAAGTAGCCCTTGATTTGTAAAAGTAAAGGTTCCCCTCGCACATATGTGCTAATTGTTCCCGACTCTAGGGGACGGTGCTCATCTTCGTTTCAAAGCCAAAGAGCCAGCACTGTCCGTGGTCATGTGGCCGGCATGACTAAACGCACAGAATGCTGTTACCTTCCCACCAAAGATGGTCCCTATTTTTCTGCTTCCATTTTACGTGCTTTCAAACTGCTAGGTTGGCAAAAGCTGCAAGTAACAGGAGCTCACTCTGTTATGTGGTGCTAGGGATTCGAACTGCCAAGCTGCCTACATTTCTGATTGACAAGCTCAATGTGTTAGTCACCGAGCCACGTTTTTTGTAGCCTTAACAAATGTACACTTTAAAAAAAAACTATTTACAACCCTTTGTTACAACTGCCCTATCATATTTCACAGCCACATGACTGTATTACAGGCACTTGGCAACCAGCTTTTATTTACAACCAGTTGTATATAACCTGCAGTCACATAACCACGATGTGCGATTTGTTTTGCTATTTTCCAGCAGAAAAAGCCCACTGGTTATGCTGCATTTGCTCAATGACCAAGTGATTCTCTTACAATGCAGTGACTCACTTTATGATTACCCTTAAAAATGATTGTAATTGTAAAATCACATCGTCACGTGGTGCCTCAATTTAAAACCACAATGACTTTGCTTCATTGTGGTTGTAAGTTAAAGATTATCTGTACACTATTACATTTAATGTGGAAAAGCAAAGAGAACCAGATATCACAAACTGAATTTATTCTGCTGGAGGTACAAAACTTTGAATTAGAGGAGGAAGAATGAAAATCAGTAGAGAAATCTGACAATTTATTTTAAGATTACATTTATTCAATAGGTTGCTCATGTACCCTAAGTCAACGATTGTGAACCTTTTTTGGCTCGCGTGCCATAAGGGGGGAGCGCAGAGGGTCGGGCATGGGCATGCCACACCCATAATGCAATGTGTGACACCCTCCCCCAGTGCACATGCGCACATGAGAGACGTTCCCATTTTTTGCATGCTTTTTTTACGCTCCTCAGGCTCCAGAGGCTTTATAGGAGCCTGGGGAGGGTGAAAACAGCCTCCCCCACCCCCAGAGGCTTCAGGGACCTTCAGGAGGCTTTCCTGAAGCCTCCAGAGGGCTTAAACCAACTCTACGAGCAAGGCCATAGAAACTCTGAAAGTTCTGAAACTCCCGGTTTCCCCATAGGGCCAGTTTTTTGCGCTCCAGAGGATCTTTCCACTCTCCCCAGGCTCCTATAAAGCCTCTGGAGCCTGGCGAGGGCAAAAAAATGGCTTTAAAAAAGGCTGAGCTCAGCTGGCCAGTGTGCGCATGCATGCCCTGACAAATGGCTCCATGTGCCACCTGTGGCACGTGTGGCATAGGTTCGCCATCCCGGCCCTAGGTCATAAGACAAATGGCCTTAAAAGTGGACATTTAAAGCAGGATTCCCCCATCTTTTGGAGTTAGTATACCAAAAAAATCTGAAAACATGATAAGGCATTCATAACAAATGGTTACTATTATGGGCAATTTTAATATTAAAAAACCCACTCATTTGGGTCAGCCTCAACTGGTACAGCTGAATCCCACCATTTTCTCAAATCAGAAATAGTCCCCTCCTAACTCATTACTGCATGTTGTTTTCTGTGCAAATAGACATAATACACTGCTTCATAGTGCTCTCTAATCAGTAAGTAATCTTTATTACGGTCAAAGACCAGCAATACACATTAGTTTTTACAATATGTTAAAAAGTACTGACATTAAGATATAATTAAAAATAACATGTATGTTATTTTCTACTTTTAACGTCAACCTGTTCTAACCTGTTCCAAACTATGTCCTTCTATGTCCAGGAATATTGGCTTGGTCTTTTAGCAGAAACTAAAAATTTTGATTTAACAAAGTTAAGGACCAGCTTGTTTTGCCTGCAATAGCCGAGTGTTGCCCTAATTGCTCTCTTCAGACCTACAGGTGTTTGTGAAATGATAGCGGCATCATCAGCATATAAGAGAATTGGCACTTTGCGTTATGCTAGGTTAGGAGGATGGAAATCAGGGTTCTGTAGGAGATCAATCAGGGGATTAATATAGAACTTAAAGAGGGAGGGGGACAGGATGCAACCCTGCCGTACCCCTTTTTGTACCCTTACTGAGCCAGTTAAACTCCCTTGGGGATTGCACCTCACTTTCAAGGTGGAATTGGCATACAATTTTTGTATGAGGAAGAGGAGGTGTTTATCGATCGTGGTGCATTTTAATTTTTCCCAGAGAGTGATCCTGGATATTGAATCAAAGGCCTGCTTAAAATCAAGAAAGGCCACAAAAAGAGAGGATTTTTTTTTTATATGTGTATTTTTGTACTAAATGGTGGAGTACCAAGATATGATCCACTGTAGATCCTCCTTCTCTAAAACCAGCTTGTTCGTCTTTGCTCGTCTATAAAATAAAACCTGGAGGCACTACTGCAAACACTCTCCAGCTGCACCGGCTGCAGCTCCGCCCGCCCTCCTCTAATCAGTTTAATATTGCATATTGTCCCTAATAATCTGGATCCTCATTTTACGTCTCAGAAGGATGGAAGGCTGAGTCAACCTTGAGCAGGTAAGAATCGAACTGCTGGCAGTCAGCAGAATTAGGCTACAATACTGCATTCTAACCACTGTACCATCACAGCTCATAATTCAAAATAAAACTCAGAAGATTTATTTGAAGAATATTTTTCTCCAGCATACATTGGCTTTCCTTTTTGAAATTAAAAGAATATTTAAAATAAAAATTAGAACCAGAGACTTTTTTTTTCATATGAAATACTGCCATCCACAGGGGTCATGTAACAGATTTAAGCTTTTAAACAAGTCCCTGTAATATATCATTACTTCTGGGGCTTTTCAGAGACTGGCCAACACATTTCAAGATTGGCTCTGAAGCCGTAGATATAACCAGACTTACCCCAAACCAATATGGATGGATATGGCCTATTCTGATATGGTCATGATTCTGACTGGACATTGATGATCTAATTACAAGACTCACTGTATTTGTGGACAGATCTGAATCCCTCTTCCCCCTCCCTCCATTTCAATGCAAGACATATTACTGGATATTGATGAAATGTTTTTTTTAAATTTCTCTCCCACTTAGTGTGGCTACTGTGGTGATGCCATTTGCAATATGGATAAGCTCTATAATAGTAAACCAGGATTAAACTTTGCAGAGGATTTTAACTCAGAACAGAGTAGGCTAGAGTTGTAACATTACTGAAAATGTTGGAAGGAGAGGTCCAGGAAAAAATGGAAAAAGATGCAATATTTCTTTTTACATCAACTTTACTGGATTTCATCATTTTTTTTCTTTAAAAAATCATTTCTTTTCACATCTCCACGTTAGACTTCTCTAATCTATTTTGAGCAAAAATAATTGTCCTAATCGGTCCTAAACTGCACTGGATTTGAACTTTTGCTCTTAATTAAAGCATAGTTCTTATAGGTTTCAATTATTGTTACCACATCCAAGCAACTATTTCTGTAAGTCATGTTCAGACACAATAAATGACTTTGCAGTAATGATGTTCACCTGATAGTTTTTCAATGCTACATGCAGAACATGGATTTTAATGGGGACTTGTACCCCAATCTTAAGGATAACCCAGTGTGTTTTACACAGAAGTAGCACTTGTACTGGTTAACAGCTAAGCCTGCATCTGTTGCAGTGTTGCAAATAGAACAATCTCAAAATAGAACATGGATGTTTTAATCAGGAACAATATTCAGTAGCCAGTTCTATGGGACTCAGTATGTAACTGAATTGTTTTCAGACTATAAGCTTCTAAAGCAGTGGTTCTCAACCTTCCCAATGCCGTGACCCTTTAATACAGTTCCACATGTGGTGGTGACCCCCAACCATCAAATTGGTGTCTCGGTTCCTAAGACCATCGAAAATGTGTTTTCCGATGGTCTTAGGCGACCCCTGTGAAAGAGTCATTCGACCCCCAAAGGGGTCCCGAACCACAGGTTGAGAACCGCTGTTCTAAAGGAAGAAAAGGGGAGCATTAATACCAGTGGTGGCTTTTGAAATAAGTT